TGGGATGGGGTGGAGACAGTGGAGATAGGACTGGGGCAGGAGGAGTGGGATGGGCAGAGGTGGGGTGGGGTGGGGGCAGGGCAGGCTAGGGTGCTGCTCAGCGTGCAGCCCTGCCTTCATGCAGTCTGGCTGGAAGCTTGGCAGGCCTGGCAGCACCATGGCCCATCCGACCTCAGGTGGGAGGCAGGCTCAGTGGCTGTGTGACCGTGTTTCCGATCCCCCCACACACACTTGGCTGGGCAGTGTGCTTCAGGGAGACGCTCAAATATCCCTAGTGATCTGCATGGCTACTGCCCGTCCTGTGCAGTGGGACCAATGACCATACCCTTGGCTGCTGGGACATGCCTCCCAGGTCTCAGGTTTAGGCCCACTCGGACTGTGGGAGCCCAAGTCAGTGGGGTGACCAGTGGGCCCCACAGGCATTCAGGTGTGGACCGTCATAAGACTTCAGGTCTGGGCACTGGTGACGCCCGGGTTGCTCCCAGGCCCCACATTTCCCCACACCCACCTCTCTGACCTCATTCTCTGCTGTGGAGACACCTGTAAGGGGACGTGGTGCCCTGAGGCTCATCTCCGGGGGTGAACTCAGCGTCTGCTGCCCTTAATTACAGTTACTGACCCCTTTATTGTGCCAGGGGACAGCTGCAGGCCGCTTCCCAGCTCTGGGGATGGGCTGGTGGGGGAGGGGGAGGGCGGCCAGCATCCTGGTGTGTATAGGCCTCTGCTGACCAACAGCCTGAGTCGGCAGCCGAGGGCTCAGACAGGGGGCTCCATGGCTGGGCCCTCTGTGGGCACTCTCTGCCCCTGCCTCTCTGTCTCTGTCGCTACCCTGGCTCATGCGAGCTGCTGGACAAAGAGCTTCTGGGTGCTCTGTGGACAGCCTGGGACACCCACCTTTCTCTGGCCCCGATGCCATCCTCATCAAAGGCCTAGATTCCAGGATAGCTGGCCAAGAGAACAGCCACCACTGAACCTCCCGGTGCCCATGGCGCAGGACCGGGCAGTGTTGTGCATGGGTCGCTATGCGTCAGAATTGACTGGCCCACACCTACCACCACCACAGCACAGGAGGCCGGCTTTGGGTGGCCGCGATGGGCTGGTGTTTGAAGCGAAGCACGCTCCTTCGCTGTGTGTGCTCTTCTGTAACGTGGGAGTGGGAGTGCAAACACTGCAGCTGCCTGCCATGGAATGAGGCCAAGGGGTCACCTGTGCCTGCCTGGCACGTGGGAAGTGCCGGTTCCCACGAGCTCTTGTCCAGCCCTCATCCCCGTCCCTGCAGTAGAAACCAGAGCCTGAGCCCTTCCTTTGTTTCCCCACCCCAACAGCAGCCCACCCATGTGCCCGGGACAATGGTGGCTGCTCACACATCTGCATCGCCAAGGGCGACGGCACCCCGCGCTGCTCGTGTCCTGTCCACCTAGTGCTCCTGCAGAACCTCCTCACCTGTGGCGGTAGGTGTGAGCCGCCCTTCCGGTGGGACGATGGATGGACAGGGGTCTCCCTTCAGCCGAGACCTCCGTGGCGCCAGCTTTCCAAAGCAGACCGTCTCTGCGCTTGCCCTCCTTTCTTTCCTCGCATAGCCATCAGATGCTACGAATTTGCCTCTGTGCACTGCTTTTGCTGCGCCCCACAAGCTTTGAGGAGTTGCCTTCGTGTTCATTTAAGAGAGCTTTGAAAAGGCCTCTTGAGGTTTCTTTGACCCCTTGTCATTTTCTGGTCTAACTCCCCCTCCCTGCCCTGCCCTCTCCCCCACCCCACTCCGTTTTGACCTCCAACTGAAGGACATGACTATGTCCTCTGCCTCCCCATGGACCCTCCCACCCATCCAAGCCAGAAGCCACCACAAGCACATAGGGGGTGCCGAACTTCTTTTCTGGCACCCCACCCCCCCAACATTGGGGGGCAGTAGCACTCGCCCACGCACAGATGAGCAGCTGTGGGTGCTGTCTGCGCAGCCCAGCTCAGCTGGGAGGGACAGATCTGGGTCCCTTTGTCCAGCGCCCACCCTTGTGGGACGTAGAGGCAGAGACCGGGGACGAGGCCCCTGGCTTCCAGCTTTCCTAGTTAGCGTCTTCCCTGTTTAAAGAGGAAAAACGGCCTCTGCTATTGGCCTGAACGTGTTAGTGTTCTGCCTCCGTCGCATGCTGAGCTGGCGACGGTACAGCAGCCAGGGTGCACCTGGCACCCCGAAGCCCCAGCTTGTGCGTGCGCTCACCCCCGGGTCCCCCCTGGCTGGGCGGGCAGGAGTGACGCTGTTCTCTTCCCCGTCCAGAGCCCCCCACCTGCTCCCCTGACCAGTTTGCTTGTGCCACCGGTGAGATCGATTGCATCCCTGCGGCCTGGCGCTGCGACGGCTTCCCGGAGTGCGAGGACCAGAGCGACGAGGAAGGCTGCCCCGTCTGCTCAGCCGCCCAGTTCCCCTGCGAGCGCGGCCAGTGCGTGGACCTGCGTCTGCGCTGCGATGGCGAGGCCGATTGCCAGGACCGCTCAGACGAGGCCGACTGCGACGGTGAGCACTCTGCCGGCCGGCTGCCCGCCCCGCGCCAGGCGGCAGAGCTCAGGGGTCCGGCTGGCCGGAGCTCCGGGAGCTTTGTCGTCATCGTCGTCGGTGGTGACCCAGAGCAGCGCCTCGTGACCCGAGCAGGACTGTCCTCAGAGGGTTTCCTAGGCACTCGCTTTCCATGGGATCCCTTGGCGACAACAGTGGTTATGCTCTTGGCTGCTCCCCACAAGGTCAGCAGTTTGAAACCACCAGTCGCTCCACAGGAGGGAGAGGAGGCTTTCTGTACCCACCAAGCATTGCAGCCTCCGAAATCCACAGAGGCAGTTCTACCCTGCCCTATAGGGCCGCTGTGAATTGGAATCAACTCAGTGACAATGGGGTCTGGGGCTTTCTACTCCCGTACAGAGGGCCAGTCTTGGGCAGTTGTTGGCACAGCTCCACCCTGTCCTGTGGGTCATTGTGTGTTGGCAGGACTCGGTGGCAGTGAGTTTGGTTTGGGTTTAGGGAGTGTGTGTGTGTGTGTGTGTGTCACTCTGGGTAGACCAGAGAAACCAATCCACAGACACGCATGTGTGTATAAGAAAGCAAGCAATTGAATAGTGAGAAAACAGCCCAGC